GGAGAAAACCATCAGCCCCATTTGTGAAACATGCTGGCCCAGACCCAGAGTTTGGAAACACTACTTTTTGGCCTACCGCTCCCAGAATACCCCAGCCAGCATGGCTACAAAAGACTAACTTTTAAAGCCACAAGCTGTGTAAAGGTCTGGGAGCAACAGAACTGTATTACAGCTTACATTGCTCTGCTGTCCTCTGTGCACTGTGGGTACGTGCATTCTCAGTGTGCCTTCTGCTATTCTGAGACGAACACTGTATATCCTTAATATTTATAATAGGCACAATTTACAGTATCTCCCTCATCCTGGCTCCTTTTCTCATCTCCTAGACGACAAGTGAAATGTAAGCTAGGCATTTGAAGAAAATAACAAAGCCAAGATTGTCTCTCGTTTTCTAGCTTTTCGCTCCGGTCCCATACTTGCAATACCATTTTAAAACAAAATACTTGAGAAGCGAGGAGGAGGCAGGGAAAAAGAGTGGGCTTATACTTCTAACTGTGAATCTTTTCACCATATGGCTCATGTTGTGTTCGGACAACTTTCCCTTTGTTATTTGCAATTTATTATGATTTCATCTTCACATACTTAAGCTTCACATTCCTAAATGTGTGCATTTAGTGCTATGTAGCATTGTCTGGAGGTCTTTAGGAGTGTAGCAAAGATGATGGTGATCATCTTTTCATGCAGTGCCTTAGGTACTCTTTACTGACCTTGCTTCAGTTTTGTACGCATGGCCACAAAAAGGTCATGACTTCACTCGATCACTGTTGCTTTGAAAACCAAAGATTTGCTTGTTTCCCATTTGTTAACATGGCCCTGCTTATCTTCTGGAAAATGCTAAGTGATTTACACATACAACAATGTATACTCAATGCTAATATGTTGTGTTCTGTGGCCTGCTCAAGGTTTTATTTCCATTCAAAATAAAATCAATTTCTTCAGGAACTGACCAATCATTAGACAATAATAATAAAATAATAATAATCTGGGCAATGATGTAGTGAAATTTGTTTGAAACTGTTTATCTTCACTGTTGAGTTAGAGCAGGGGTGGGTTAACATGTAGGATGCATACAACCTTTTGCAGCCCAAGAGGCCTTCACCCCACAAATTCAATTTTTCCATTAAAAAAGGGAGAATTATCCTTTAGAACAATCATTCCCAAACTTTGGTCCTCCAGATGTTTTGGACTTCATCTCCCAGAATCCCTGACTTATGGCCAAGCTGGCTGGGGCTTCTGGGAGTTGAAGTCCTAAACACCTGGAGGACCAAAGTATGGGAATCACTGCTTTAGAATAAGACAACCCCCCCCCCCCATGTCTGGACCTCCTTTTAACAATGTAAAAGACCTTACAGCCAATTCCAAATTTGTTTTTGGGAAGGATGTGACCAATGGTGGGTTGGGGTGTGTGTGTCAATTAGCCCCAGACACTTCAGAGTTTGCTCAGTTCTGGGTTAAGGCCATTTCATTTGTCTTACTCAAAGAATCAATATAAATAGAACCATCCAGATGTCATAAGCACGACTCAGAACAGCCAGCAGCTCATGCATGCCTCCCCTCTCCTTGAAAGGCTATGCTGACCACCTATATTAACAATAGTTAAAGCTCACTCTTAGTTCCCTTCATAAGCAGTTCTTAGCTACTCTTTAAGCCTGGTTAAATGGGAATCCTGGATAGCCACTGGCACAATGAATGTCTAGATACAGCAGAAAGGGGAACTTGTTGAGAAAAGAGGGTGTAGGGATCCTGTGGCCAACATTCATTCTCATAACTGTTGTTAGGGAATAGGATTCTTCAGCTGTTGTTGTATGCCTTCAAGTTGTTTCTGAGTTATGGCGACCATACGACGAACCTATCATGGGGTTTTCTAGGCAAGATTTGTTCAGAGGACCTTTGCCTTCCCCTGAGGCTGAGAACATGCGGTTTGCCCACATTATGGCATTATGGCTGAGTCGGGAATCGAACACTGCTCTCCAAAATCGCTGTCCAACACTCAGACCACTACACCACAATGGCTCTAGCCTAAACAATTTTATGGTACAGCAGAACACAGCTTGGGAAGTCTTGAGGGGTTTAGAAACTTATCAGTCCTGCCTTATAAATCAATTATCTCAGGATTGTGAGGGGTTTTGTGCCATTTATACTTGTAATTTTAATGGGATCCTGCCAAATGCTTCTGTGCCAGTTTCAAGCAAGTATAGCTTATTCTTGATGGAAAAGTGCTTTCTAATCCAGATAAAAATAACAATAAGTGCCCCTTCGGTAAGCATTCTTTGCCTTTTCGTATCTGATAGTCATCACTTTTCACTCATCCACACTTTTCTGTTATAAATGCCAACAGTGTTGTAAGAGATCCGGGGATTGGCCTGTCTCTTACCAGATTTCAGACCAGACAAGACAATGGTGTTGTCTGTTCTGTACATAAGCCTTGACATAAGCTACCATTTTTGTTTTGTTTTGTACTATTTTGGCAAGCGTCTAGGTCAGGACTGACAACTGCTCGATGAAGTATTCCCAACATAGCGTTGAAATAATATTTCTCAAACGGAAGATGCAATGCAAATGAAAGGAGGAGCACTTGAAAAGCACTCTGCAATGGGTGATGGTAAAAAAAAAATAATCCTAAGCAAGCATACCTTTGCTGAACACACACACACAAAGAATCCATGGGGTTCACTTAAAAGTAACTTAATCATAGCCAGAAGATGAGCAATATTACTAGAATGTTTCACAGAAATTCTGATGCCACAAATTCTTAATTTTGTAGTCAGAAACTAGACCTAGACTGTTCACCATTGAAATTCTTCTCCCTTTGGCGTCATTTTGCTCCCTCATTCTATTTCCCTGTTCTATAGACATGCACTCAACCATATGAAAGCATACCATATGGCAGTGGTCCCCAACCCCCGGTCCGGTACCGGGCCGCAGAACAAATGGTACCGGGCTGCCCTGCTACTGCGTCTTCTGTTTTGTTTTGATTTAATAATCAACGCGACGCTGCAAAACCCCCCCAGTGGGCCGCGGAAAAATTATCAAACGTTGACCGGTCCACGGTAATAAAAAGGTTGGGGACCACTGCCATATGGTATACAAATACTGCAACTATGTGAAAGCTTTCCATTCAGATGTCAAGGAACTACAAATAAGGGCATTAACTGGAGTCGGGCAGAGGAGACAATCCCATCCAACTGTACATTCACACAGTGGGAAATTGGTTTCTGCAGGAGTGAATGTATGTGAAAGAACTTAAATCACCCAGCAATGTTCAGCCACAAAAGCTTACTTGTACTAGTGATGCCTGCCTGTGATACACAGTTGTGGAGCTGAGAGCATTTTATACTTACAGAACGTCTCAGAACAGACCCAGCACACTGACTGGTCAGTAAGGCTCCTATTAAACTTGTAATGGATGTCAAAAAGCTTTTTCAGTGCTTCAGTAGTGTACTTTCAAATTTGTTGTCAAGAGTTTGTCATTACACTGCAAAGTGCGAAGACCCTGGTAGCTTCCATGTTAATGGAGACCCTCACTCTATCCCCCCCCCCCCAAATAAGTCAGCAACACAGACAGGCCCTTTAAAATTTAGAGTAAAACCAGGAGCAGATTCGCCACCGCTGTGACCTGAAAGCCCCAGTCAGCACTGCAGGTGGTGGGCATCATCTAGCCAACAACCTGAGCAGGACTTAGGAAAGTTACCTTTTTGGACTACAGCTCTCAGAAGCAGCTTCATTTAGCAGCTTCATTTATATACCGCTTCATATCACGCTATGGGATGTCTAAGCGGTTTACAACTGTGAGCTGAACCCCTCACTTAGCATGGCCAGTGGCTAGCTAAGGGGATACTGAGAATTGCTATCTAATCAAGTAATTTTCCCAAGCTCTGAGCTTGCCTTCAGCCTTTCCAGGTTTCACTGTTCCTATCCTTAACATTTACAAACATTGAAGTGTATAAAGCAAGGCCTAGCATGATATTTTGCTGCCCAGGAAGAAAGGCAAGGTGCTACTTCTCCCTCTCCCCCTACAAAAGCCAAGTGGACTTGCTATTAAATCTTAAGGGTCCTTCACATGTCTTTTTTTACCAGAATAATGCAATCATCATCATCATCATCATCAAATATCCTCACTCATGCATTCTGGTTTTGTTATTCACACTATAAAATGGCATCCATCCACATCTCATTGGGATTTTAGCAGGAGCCGGTGGCTGAGGAAAGGGGAATCCCCCCCTCTTGTCCTCCACAGTCTTGAGAGGGGGAACACACCACTTTCTTCTCAGGAGGCCCCCAGAAGCCACCCGTTGTAACTGGTTATGCAATGGAAGAGGAAGAGGAGGAGCGTCTCCCCGTGAAGCCAGCTGGGAGGACCCTCACCCCACCGAGTCAACAATGTGAATGTTTTCAGAACCTGTTCAAGGTATGCTTAGTTTAATCTGGATCTGTTTGCATCGTTATTCATGCTACCAATGGTGAGAATCTTTTTTAAAAATTCAGGAAAGACCTGGTGTAGAACACCCTGGGTTAATTGGGGTTTTGGGGAGCCCTCCCCTGAAAAAAAACTGAATAGGGTGCATTCGGGGTGCACATGAATAACAGATTCAACCCAAATTCTACCTGGATTATTTTCATTGTGTGAATAGGGCCTTAATTCAACACTAGTGATGGGACAGCATCCTCCACATCACCTCAGGACAGCAAAATAATTTAAGGCATGAAGGGCCAGTTGCCTGCAATATACAGGAATAGCCAGGAAATGATGGCAAGCACCCGCTGCTTTCTCCACCACAACACTCAGCAAATGCAGCTTGAGGTAACCTTCTCACGGCTTAACAGTAGGCGAGCCCTGTTTCAAAGTGTTCTGTTACTGCTGTTGTATGCCTTCAAGTCATTTCCAACTTATGGTGACTCTCAGCAAACCTATCATGGGTTTTTTTTGGGCAAGATTTGTGCAGAGGAGGTTTGCCATTGCCTTCCTCTGAGGCTGAGAGCAGGTCACCCAATGGGTTTCATGGTTGAATGGGAATCGAACCCTGGTCTCCAGAGTCACAGTCCAACACTCAAACCACTATGCCATGCTGGCTCTGGTTCAAAGTGTTCTGCACATACATTTGGCTTGTCATCCTTGCAAAAAGCCAGTAGGGTAGATCAGCATTATTATTCCCCAAACAGGGGAAAGCAGGAGAACAGCTTGCCAGTTTCACAGCCCTGGCAGGATCTAAGCCACAGATTTCCTCTGTCACTTTGCCACTACAATACACCAGGTCATCTCAATTTTTTATTATGGCATGCTCATCTTCTGACTTTTGGTGGAATTTAAATGGTTTTAATTCTATAGGTTGTTTTGATTGCATTTTAAAAATAATGTATATTGTCATCTTAGTATGACCAGGTATTTAATCTCTATTTGTTTTAATTTTTGTAAGCTGCTTTGAGTCCCAGTGCTGGGGGGAAACTGGATATAAACACATAAACATGAATAAATAACACTAACAACAATAATTACAATAATAGCAGTAATAAAATTATATACCAACTTTCTCCACAGACTGGCATTCAAGGCAGCTCACAGAAACGGATACAACTAAAAGCACAGCAGGTGGAAATATTAAGTCAAAGTTAAACTAGTTCGTCTCATTAAGAAAAACAAGAGGTTTAAAAAGCACATCAGCACATGTAAAAGCACATCAGCAACACACACGCAGAGCCCAAGCAAATCTCACATGAGTTTTCATTTCAGAGCTTGTTCAAATGCTACTTTTTGCTCACAAAAACAATTCTGAGTTATAAAATGTAGACACAGCATCATTAATGAAAACATGAGGGAAGATCAGCCTTCCCCAAATTTGTCTCTAGCAGACTGGGAGACAATGGAAATTTTAGCCCAACGTATCTGGTTGGGGAATAACTAATGTAGATTATGAGGTTCTTTTGGCTGTTGTTGTTTTTTTTTTTAAATCAAACAGCAAAATAGTGCAATAAAGATCAGCATTAACAATACATTTGCACTACGGTAATAGACTGACTTTGTATAATGTACGCAGGAACTGGCTTAAAAAGGAGGAAGGGAGGGGAATGAGGGAAGAAAAGAAGAAATGTATCAGCACCTTTAAGATTAGCTGGTTTTTATTTTCACTTGAGCTTAGAACAAGAGGTAGTTAACTTGAGGATCTCCATGTGTTGTGGGACTGCAATTCCCTCCAGCCCTAGGCAGCAGGATCAATTTTGAGGGATGGCAGGAGTTGCAGTACAACAATATCTAAAGGGTTATATGTTGCCCTAAATTCACCCTAGATAAAGAAGAAATCGAAATAAAGACTTTCTGTACCTTGGATCAAACATTGATCAGAACGGAGACTGCAAGAAGTAAGAAGAAGACAGAATGGGATGGGCAGCCATGAAAGAACTAGACAAGATCCTAAAGGATAAAGATATACAACTTAGCACTAAAGTTCGAATTGTCCACGCCATTGTATTTCCTGGGCTCATTCAAACTTACATTTAAACTGGTTCATAATTCTCTTTGACATCGCATTGGTGAATCAATTCCAGTTGAGGCATAGTACTCACTATGGAAGCAAATTAATTCCTTATTTCATGGATTTGTGTCTTTTTTGACACAATTGTCGTTCCCACTAGATTTGTGCTGCTTCAAAATGCATGTCAATCATCTACATGTCATTGGTGGCGCACCCATGTGCCATACCAGCAACACATTCAAGAAAACATAGAATCATAGAATCATAGAGTTGGAAGAGACCACAAGGGCCATCCAGTCCAACCCCCTGCCATGCAGGAACTCCCAATCAAAGCATCCCTGACAGATGGCCATCCAGCCTCTGCTTAAAAACCTCCAAGGAAGGAGACTCCACTACTCTCCGAGGGAGTGTGTTCCACATGTAGGGTGACATGACCACATAAGAACTAAACACACTCATAGAAATGTAAATGCCATGCTTCTTAGTCCTGCTCCAAATGTAAATGCCATGCTTCTAGTCCTGCCCCAAATGGAGGACCTTCTGGGATTCCTCTAGATGGGAGGCTGAAATGTAGGACCTGTCCTGGGAAAGGAGGATATGCCTGGGACGGAGTTGGGCTTCCTGCCAGAGAAAGAGGCTGAGTGCTGCTATGGCTTGGCCCGGGAACCCCCGCCCCTCCTCACCCCTTCTTCCCGCAGGAGTTACCTTCCACTTTGGTGATGATGAGGATGGGGCCGTTACAGGTGCTGAGTGGGGCGACATTAGCAACGGAGCTTTCCTCTGAATTATTTACTTCCCCTCAGCAACCCAGGCTGCTCCCTGAGTGTATCAAGCACATCATTTTCCCCTCTCCTCCTCTTCCAGCTGGCTCCTAGGCTATTGTTGTTGTTGTGCAACAGCTGGTTGCTCTCTGGTTAAGGGACATCTTCTGTATTGGGGAAGGGGGAAAACTTTCATGGCTTTTCTCTTCTCAGGGATGGTGCCATTAGCAACACAACAATACCTATTCAACACAGAACAATACACAGTTTACATGGGAATCACTCCTCCCTACCCAGGGCCTGACTGTATATATAGACCCCCTCTCTTCCATTCCAGTATTCTCTGAAGATGCCAGCCACAGATGCTGAAGAAACGTCAGAAAGAAACTCTTCTAGAACATGGCCACACAGCCCGAAAAACCCACAAAAAACTACAACTGCGAAATTATCTGTCTTCAGAAACAGCTATGTTTTTGCCTTTAGCTCACTTCACTGCAATTCAAACCGAGCGCAGTCAGTTCTGAAACAGTTTCAAGTGTGAATGAGGCACATAGAATCCGATCAGCAATTAGCTTTAAATCATAGTGGGAATGAGCCCCCCCCCCATCACCATATAAGAGCCCTGCAGTGGTTAAATCAGGGGTAGGCAACCTTTCCCCTTTAAGGGCCGAGGGACTTCAGCTCCCAGAATCCCAGTAGCTACTGGCCAACATGGGACTATTGGCCAACATGGCTGAGGCTTCTGGGAGCTGAAGTCCCTCGGCCCTTAAAGGGGAAAGGTTGCCTACCCCTGGGTTAAATGCTGATACTGCAGCCACAAGGTTGTGAGTTTGATCCCAGGACTCCAAGGTTGACTCAGCTTTCCATCCTTTCATAGGTTGGTAAAATGAGTACCTAGCTTGTTGGAGGCAACTGGTTTACAGATTATAAACTGCTTAGAGAGTGCTGAGTTCACTGATAAGTGATATAGAGGTATAAATGCTGTTGCTATGTACAAATGCGAGAACCGGGCAGTGAAAAAAGCAGAACGGAAGAAAATTAATTCATTTGAGATGTGGTACTGGAGAAAAATGCTGAGGATGCCATGGATGGCCAAAAAGACCAATTAATGGGTCGTAGAACAGATCACAGCTGAACTCCTCCTAGGAGCAAAGATGACAAAACTGAAGCTGTCATGCTTTGGCCACATCATGAGAAGGCATGAAACACTAGAAAAGACAACAATGCTAGGAAAGTTTAAAGGCATCAGAAAGAGAGGAAGAGCACATGCCAGATGGATAGACTCAATAAGAGAGCCCATGAGCCTGAGCCTGCAAAACCTAATCAAAGAAGAGGAGGACAGGGGGCCTTGGAGATGTCCCATCCAAAAGGTCACCATGAGTGGAGGCCAACTGGAGGGCAGTTAATCACAACAATATGCTGCCTAGTGATGCCTTAGAATGCCAGCTTTAATTTCTCCATCATACCCAATAAGAACCTCAATATTCCCCAATCAAACTAGGGCATTTCAACAGTTCTCTGTTCTACTTTCAGATGCGGTTCGAAGATTTCAAAAAGAGCCACACAACTGCCACTCTCAGAGGAATGAATCCAAAACAAAGGTTATGATTTAAAGGGGGTGGGGGAATATGCCAAGGGTCATGTAGATAGGCTTTTGCTTTCAATTCTAAAACTATGCCTTTCTGGGACTGGAGTATGTAAAGTTAAAAGAAAGACAGCAAGAGTTATAAAGAGAGTCTGAGCTGTCAGCCTATTTTGGGGGGAAAGGATGAAGTCATATTTAGCATGACACATTCTGGGGAGGGGGAGAGACTATTTCTATTTTCAGAGAATTTTATTTTATTTCTACTTTGATTTCACAGCTCGTTTTGCATTATAAATAGATATCTCTGCAGGAATTCATTTCTACTGAAAGCTGCGGGGTTCCCCACCCCACCCCACAGATTGTTGAAAGTTCCCTTACTTGCATGCAAAAAGAACCATTTAAAAGTGGGCAAGAGTGAAGAATCGGAAGCCATAAGCATCCTTATTCAATTTGAGAAACTTTCAAGAAGAAATGCCCCAAGGTCTCCCTATTTCATTCAAAGCAAACTCCTTTTAAACTTTTCTCAGAATCCATTTCACGTTCCAGCTGAAGGGATTTAAATTACAGCTCTACAGCTTGAAATATACTTTCCGACAGTGGGGCAGAGTGGGTGGATGGCTGGACTGGAAAAACCCACGTTCAAATTCTTGTTCAAAGCCAAAAATTACACTGAGTATGGAACTCTATGTATGCATGTAGAGTATGGAACTATGATTCAAGCTTGCACGCTTCCATTTTTTAAAAATCGAATATACCAGACTTTTGTGTTTGTGTGTGGCCATCTCATCCACAGATTAGAATTGGGCAGCTGTCCAGATGTCACTAAACCACAACTCCCAGCTGGTAGAGCCAATGGTGAGGAATGCTGGAAGTTACATCCCAGTAAGACCTAGAATGCTGCATAATAATAATAATAATAATAATGATAAACTTTATAACCCACCTCTCTGCCTCGCATAATGCCACCTCTCATCTAGCTAATTCCAAATTCTTCAGAGTGAAAAGCCAATTTACACAGTTTGCCCAGTTTATATGGAGGAAGCAATCCATAGGATTTGGAAGTGAGGTTGGTCCAGATCCAGATGTGAGACTGCAAGGGGACACCCTCCCTCCAATAAAAGCCTGGGAAACACACACAGCCTTCCATGAGATCATTCAATCAAACACTTTGGTAAAGCCCAAAATAGTTTCAGTGTGTTCATGGGACATGCCCCATTTGTTATATTTTAAACTGGTTTGCATTTTTAAAGCTGATTTAACTGAGATTCTAGGTCTAGGAGGTTTGTTTGGTTGTTGTTTTTTTAATTTTGGTCCTGTTATCCACATTGACTACCTTTTTAGACAAGAAGGTGGGGCATAAATTTAAGAATAAAGCAGTAAATGCATAGTCTGGAGAATGCAGGGAGTTGCCATTATCCAGAAATGGAGGCAAGCAATGGCATTATTCAACTAGACTTCTCACTACAAATTTTTTCTTTTCACAGCATGTGGAGGTTTGATTCTGAGCAAAAATGTTTGTTCTCCCTTCTCTACTTGCTACAGCCCTGGTCCAAACTTTGAAAATTGCCTACCAGGAGATCCAATCACTGAATATCCAGTTAAGCCTTAAACAGCAGAGCCTAGTAGGTAAAGTGTCAAGACTGCTAATTTAAGATTTTCAGGTCATACCCTCATGTCTTTAAGTATCCCAAAGTCACAAGAAGGATTTTATTGAAGATATTTATAACTTGCCTTGCAATTTAAGATGCTGTCAAAATTGGAAATAACCAAAATGTTATGATCATGTTGACAAAACAGCAGAAGATCAACATGAAGAAAAACAGAAGTCAGATTAAAACAAATCCAAAATCTGCCGTAAAATGGCCTTTACAAACCCAGGGAAATTACCGTGATGTTCACTTATTGATACTGTTGAATAACCCAAGGAAGTACATTCTGTAGTTAAAGGGTTATTAGAGAAAAGGCAATATTCCAAGCCATTCCCACTTAACCTCCAGATACAGATATTTTCTGGGAAGGGCCAAAGGAAGATAACACTCAGACACAGCACTATGGAAGGAGTTGACTCTTTAGACAATAAATAGGTCCCATTCCATAAAGGGCTATAAAGCATATTCTACACTGTGTGCCAGAAATATACAGGAAGCCAATGCAGACTTTTTTACATTGAGATATATTCTACATTGCTAGCTACCTAGCTTCATCCTGCAGCACTACTGCAAGGTGACAGGAGACAAGGAGAGGCCTCCAGACCATGACAAATTGTCATCTACACATCAGTAACTCAGATGTAGGGAACATATCAAGAACATCTTCTCTCAGCGCCTTTGGAAGAAGTCTGTGGCAAACTAACATCAATTGTGTAAATGGCATGCAAAAAGATGGACAAACCTAGAGGTGATCCATTTCTGTCTTCAGGATCCTTTGTGGGGGCTGTCTAGAGTACCAAAAATACTAAATACCAAGCCACAAACAAAAACCATTAAGTAGTCAGATGTTTACTCCTTGTGAAAAAATGTTTGTAAAATTTATGTGTGTGATCTTCCTGCAACATATGTAAAAGGTGATTCACTAATCCTGGTGGCTTTCAGAAGATGTAATTCACCCTTTTGCCAGAAAAAAAATTGGCAGTCTAAGGGAATTTGGAAACACTGTGGATCATAAAGCACTCAATGCTAGATCTCTCATGTGGCTGTAGGGTCACACTTTACTCACCTCTTCTTTAGATGGGGTGGGGGTGAGCCAAACTAGATGTGGTTTTACTGCTAGATCTCTAGATGATTGGCAATAAATTAATAGGGGTTTTGAATCCCAACTGCATCTCCAAAATGATTCTCTGCCCTGACACATATCATCCCTCTACAATGATGTGTGAAGACTGTGAGCTTCATTCAGTTTTGGTAATCAAAGCAAATTCCTGGGGCTAGAATTTTTTCATTTTCAATGCATATCTTTTGTCCCAGATTATTCTTGATGCAAGCCAAGGTTCTAGTAAAAAAAAAAAGTCAGTCCCACAAGCCTGAGAATTGCTCAGTTCTGCTCTCCCTGTAACAGCATCAAGTGGATTATGAAATCAGATTCTACTGCGGTCTTCCAATGGAACAAGAAACATCAGGAAAAGACATAGATTAAAAAGTCTTCCAAACATATTAATCAGGCAGAGTGGCTGGGATCAAAGCAGCACTGGCTGACAGAATGCTCTTTTTTGGCCTTACTTCCATTTTAATTTTAAAAAATCTCAGGTTATAGGATTAAGAGCATTTTCCCAAGTCCCTCCAAATATAAGCATGTATAAGTCTTTCAAACCACAACCTTTATAGAAACCTCAGTTCCGAAAACAATACAATTCTCCCTGTAAATATGTCTTGGGGTACAAGGTTTTACTTTACCAATAAAAGCAGCCTTTATGGTTTCTACTGCGCCAACTTGTCATCTATTTTACTGCCTTAATTTAGGAGAATACTCAGATCAATGTCAATTTACAAGCTGCTTTTGTAGTATTAAGAGGGGGGGAAAGTTTCATTCAATCTCTATTAGAAAGAGGAAAATAAAGAAGACAAGGTGAATAAAGGGAGTCATAATTTGATGGTGGTGAAATGGGAAGTATGCCAATTTGAAAGCCACTACACCCTTGTGGAAGTGGTTGGGATCTCTCCAGTCTCCTTCCATGGTTTTCAAGTGGGATGGTGGTTGTACAGCAAAACATTAATGCCAGATCAAGTTCCTAAAATACTGTCTTGTGGCACCTGAAGGACTAACAGATTTATAGAATGGTACAATTCTGTGAAACAAGAGACCAGTTCATTAAACACACAGAGTGGGCTCTGGTCCACGACAAACAAGGTTGTGGTTTTTTAACATGCCACCAGAATCTTTGTTGCTAAAGATGAACTGAGCACCAATGTTAGAATCATTCAAGCCATGGTATTCCCAATCATTATCTATGGATGTGAAAGTTGGACAATGAAGAAAGCAGATAGAAAGAAAATCAACTCATCTGAGATGTGGCACTGGAGAAGAGTGCTGAGGATATCATGGATGGCCAAAAAGACAAACAAATGGGTCCTTGAATGGATTAAGCCTAAAATCTCCCTGGAAGTCAAGATGACTAAATTGAGGCTTTCTTTGGCCACATCATCAGAATGCATGAATCATTAGAAAAGATAATAATGCTAGGAAAGGTGGAGGGCAGTGGAAATAGAGGAAGACTGCATATGCCAGATGGTTGGACTCAATCAGGGTGGTCACAGGCCTGGACCTGCAAGACCTGAGCAGAGCAGTTGAGGATAGGGAGACTTGGAGATGTCCCATCCACAGGGTTGCCATGAGTTGAGGTCCAAGCCTCAAAGGCAATTAACAACAAAACAACAGAAGATTAATACAGTTATCCTTTCAGAAACAGTTTCTTGGATGCCTGAAGAAATGCTCCCATCCCCACCATCCAGCTTAATTTCTCTTTGAGGCTGGGCAGGATCCTGGTAACTTTTGTCATCCCTTTAAAAACAAAAAACAAAACAGGTATCTCTCTTCAAGCCATCCATGCAATCCTTACTGATTTCTCCTGCCTCACCCCTCCTGGAAAGCTGGCTGCTGCTTCCAAGCCAGGCGAGAGTCCAGCCCAGGTCCTGGCTTTCTGCCCTTTCTAATACCAGCAGTTGATCCTCAGTTTGTTTTGAATTTGGATGCACATGCCCAAGGACACATCTCCTCTCAAGGGCAAAGAGTAAATGGGTGTGGACTTGGTCATGTGCCACTTGAAAGAAAGAAAAATGTGAACTAACCCTTTTCTGCTCACTAGGTCTGAATTTGATCAGCACTGGCCATGCTGCCTGAGGGATTCATGAGTTACAGTCCAACAAAGTAACTGTTCTGATCTCTGAGCTACACATTTTTATATATATGCACACACACCACAGATTCACAGGCTGGCAAACCCAGAGTTAACCCAGACTCATTTAAATCTTACATGTAAAAATGTGCCTTCACACCAGGAAAACTCTGGAGACATTTGGGTTGTGGAATGATTAATACCAAAATTTCTTTCCCCAGGGTTGGGACTGTACCTCTGTGAGAATATTTTAATACACTTACCATTATGAATATAAACCAATTTCACCACCATTTTGCTACATTGCATCCATTCTTATTACCCCATCCCAGTTAAAAGTAGTCTTTTGCACTGGTTTGAAAAAGGGGTTCTCTGCAAATTCTAAAATGGCATCAATGAACAACAACATGAAATGGCTGAATTTACAGGTTTCCTCTAGTTCTGCAAGCTCCACATTATTACTATAAGCATCTAGAAAGCTGAAGTTTGCCAGAACTCTGACTGAAAACTGCAAAGTGTGTTTTCAGTGCAGGGCTTGGCCATGGCAGATCAATTGGGAGCCAAGAGCCCTTTCAAATGCATTTGGTTAAGTGCTTTTAATGGAAGGAAGCTACACCACCAGAGGCCACATTCTCACAGAATGTAAGAGTACGTGGCCTCCGTGATATCAGAGGAACAAATGCTGACAGGCTGTGTGGACTGAACTCTATGAATGACACGGGGGCCCCATTAACAGGAAAGGAGGATGTTTGCACTGAGTGAACCAGGAAATACCCTGAAAACAGCCCTTTCTCCCTCTCCCACTGTCAAAGTAGCTGTATCACTTTTCAACAATGAAATAAGTTGTTGGCCTTTTGTGCCTTCAAGTTGTTTTCAACTTATGGCAACCCTAAGGAGAACCTATCATAGGTTTTACTTGGCAAGTTTTATTCAGAGGGGGTTTGCCTTTGCTTCCCTCTGAGGCTGAGAATGTACAACTTGCCCAAGATAAACCAGTGAATTTCCATGGCTGAACAGGGATTTGAACCCTGGTCTCCAGAGTTGGAATCCAACATTCAAGCCATTACACCATGCTGCCTCCTGAAACAGGACACTCAGTCATACTGTCCTTAAGGGCCTTTTTTGGTGGCAGCACCCAAACAGTAGCAGTCACCCATGTGCCTCTGCTCTTTAACTGGTCTTTTGGGAAAACAGTTAAGACCATTTGGTTTTGCTGTACTTGACGGCAGCCTTGATCTCTCCTCCACCTTCCAGTGATATTATGCAGTTATACTGCTGAAGCTGCTCCAGTAGGTGGTGCATTTATTTTTAATTGATATTTAATTGATTGCTGTAAGCAAGGGGTAGGCAACCTAAGGCCCGGGGGCCGGATGCAGCCCCCCGAGGCCTTTAGACCGGCTCTAGGCTAGTCCTGCCCCCACCGCCGCTGCTGCCCACCATGATGATATTGATTATTGTTATTATTACTTGTTCTTGGGGTTTTCTTGGCAAAATCTCCACAAGGGTTTTGCCATGGCTTTTCTGGGGCTGAGAGAGTATGCATGCATATTTTTTAATTTTTTTAAAAAATTATTTTTATTTATTTATTTATTTATTTATTTATTTTTGGTGCTTCGGCCCCCCAATTGTCTGAGGGACAGCAACCCGGCCCCCGGCTCAAAAAGGTTGCCTACCTCTGCTGTAAGCTGTGTGGGCCTGAATGGCAGGACAGAAATACAGTGGGCCCTCCACATTTGCTGTATCATAAAATTGTTTAGGCCAGAGTCAGAGTGGCATAGTGGTTTGACCGTTGGACTATGTCTCTGGATACTGAGAGGTTGAGGCTGAGAGTGTGTCACTCATCCAAAGATACCCAGTGAGTTTCCATGGCCAAGTGGGGAATCGAACCCTAGTCTCCAGAGTTGTAGTCCAATGCTTAAACCACTGCACCACACCGGCTCTCAATTTACATACATGTCCTTTATTAGTTTCTTTAAAGAGAAGGGACTGGCTTGAGTGTTGAACTACAACTCTAAATATCAGGGTTCAAATCCCCTCTCATGGAAACCCAGTGAATGACCCTGGGCAAGTCACATGCTCCCAGCCTCAGAAAGCCCTTGTAGACATAGAACAACAACAAACATTTCCTAAATTTCATACACTTTGCAAGTATGGGTAAAAAAAAAATCTGTTTTTTAACTCAAAGAAAATACAGTTGGCAATAGATCTCTACAAATCTGTTTAATTAAGATTACATTTTTATACCAACCAATGTAATGTTTTGGGACCAAAAAAGTCCCATTTTTTTTAATTTTGTATGTGTGTGTATATTATTTTGCCAAAGTGACATGTTCTGAGCATCATTTGGTTGACATGACAGGCAAAATAAAAATATCTTCAGTTGAGGAGGAATTGATTTCACTTTCACTCCACTCTGTGTGAGCTGGCACTAGGTATTTGGCACACGTGATTCTGCACAAGCACCCCTTTCAATGGGCCATTTGTATATCCTGCAATTAAGTGGAACTCTCTCTGAGGTCAGAAAATATTCCACAACTCACACAAGTAAGGTGCTTTTTAAAAGTCTAGTCCCTGAGAGCTAAACATCTTAAATATGTCGTAACTTTGAACTTCTAAATGCATGATTTTAACAGCTAAACTCTTTACCATGACACACAGTGACAATCACAAATTAAGATGGCTTCAAAATGGACTAGAAACAAAAACAAAAGGGTCTCAACCTAAAATCCACAAATCAAAAAACCATGACAGATACAAAAAATAACCTTGAAACAATAATGGCAGTATATAATAGAAAGGTCCTGCTTTACAGAAAATATTAACACACAGGACCTTGTCATCTTTGGAAACGTATGTCTGTAACTGGCACTTTAAATTGTTGAAAACTCCTTACTAAGGAAGGTTTTTTTTAAAAAAAGAAATAGCTACAAAAAGTTCCAGATAGCAGACATCTCATCAAGACTTTGCCACCCATTTTGTTCTGTTTCCATTACATGTAGTTACACTTCCAACAAGCAAAAATACTATCATAGATTTGTAAACAGGCAGAAGGTATATTTTCACAGATGGCTTTTTGGGTTTAATATTCATTTTAAGTTTGCCCTGCTTACTTTGAACAGAGTACCAAATGTGTCTTTATCCATTCTGAGCTAACTTTTTATGTTGTGTTATATATTTTGGTTGTATTCTATACATGTTGACTTCCTGTTAAAGCTTATCTTTCATGTATGTTTTCTTCTTAGCATATACTGTATACATTAGGCATATATTGTATCATTTTCTTGGAGAATATTGTATAATTTTGTCTTTATAGTTGATTTTTTTTTTTGTCTTGGTTGTAGACACAACTTTCATTACATTACCACATTCTATTATATCCTACTATTATTGTTTCAAGACTGTTTATGTATCTTTAATGGTGTGTGTTGTTGTTGCTGTTTTTAAAGGATTAGACCACTTCCACGGGGGATGTCCATCAGTACTCATTTTCTAAAACAATCTCAGAATAGCTCTGCCACATTCAGAGAAGCCATATTTTGGATAATATATGATAGAGGCTAAACATCAGGACAGGGTACTACTTCTGCACCTTGCTTGTGACTTAAAGGAAACTATCTGGCTGTTGCTGAAAAAAGAATATTGAACTAAACAGAGAAGGTCTGTGGTCCAATCCAGTGGTCCCCAACCTTTTTATTGCCGTGGACCGGTCAACGTTTGATAATTTTTCCGCAGCCCACTGGGGGGGGGGGTTGCGGCATCAAGTTAATTATTAAATCAAAACAGATCAGTGGTCCCCAACCCCCAGACCGCGGCCCGGTACCATTTGTTCTGCGGACCGGTACTGGGCCGCAGACCGTGGGTTGGGGACCACTGGTCCAATCCAGCAATGCTGATGTAAGTAAGACAGAGAAACCAACCTGCCATGGTCTATCCCAATCCAGTGGAATAGGAAATGCTCCAAGCCATGCACCCACCACACTGCACATGGTGGTAATCTGCAGGTTGTTATCCCAGATGGACATAGCCCTGGAAAAAAGACACAACTGTTTCAGTGAATTTGGAAAAAAAATGCATGCATTTTACCAAACTACTTAAAAGCGCCTTCAATAGAAAACAGCTGTCAAACCAAATCACAAGACTTCCGTTTGAGCAAACACACCTGAGGCCAAATAGCAAGACCAGAAAAACGTAAAGCACAAAATACCAACCACATTTCATTGATCTGCTGTCACCAATTCCTTTCATAGAAAACAGTGGTGAAGTTGACTGGTTTAATTATTTTTAACTAAGTTTTTTAAAGCTACTTAATTTTAATCAGTGAAGTCTAGCCCCTGCATACTTTCAGGGTGCCTTCTCCCATATGAGTCACCTTATAAGGGCTTGTTCCAGTTGGCTTGCCAGCAGGAGTCCACTTAGAAATTTCCTGAAACTCTACCTTTTCAGCAGTGATGTCAGCCCTGCCGATCTCTCTCTCAGCTATGCCATTATATAGATTTAAGTGGCCTGTGAAAACACTGCTATTTTAACAAGCATTTGCAACACTTGCCATCTTTTTTATTATTATTATTCTTAGTACGGATGTACAGAGAGAGCCAGCATGGTGTAGTGGTTTAGACGTCGGACTAGGGCTCTGGAGACCAGGGTTGAAATCCTCACTCAGCCATGGAAACTCATTGGGTGACCTTGGACAAGTCACACTCTCTCACCTTCAGAGGGAGACAAAGGAAACCCCTCTGAAGAAACTTGCCAAGGAAACCCCATAATAGGGTCACCTTAGGATCACCGTAAGTTGGAAACGACTTGAAGGCACATAATAACAGACATACTGTATATACTCATGTCTAAGTCTAGACATTTAGGTTAAAAAATGACCCAAAAAATCATGGGTCAATTTAAGTACTGTGCTATAGATAGATAGAAAAAATATAGATAATTCCATTAAAAGAAACTCAGAAAGAAATACTAAACCAACCAATAACACTGACTGAAATAAAAGAAGCAATCAAAAACTGTAAGACAGGAAAAGCTCTAGATCCCGATGGTTTTTTCAACTGTGTATTATAAACATTTTCAGAAAGAACTGGTAAATGTTTTGGAAAGAGTGATGAATAATATAAAATTAGATTGCAAGCCTGAGGGCAGGGAAATATGTATAATTAACCATTTGTAAGCTGCTCTGATAGCCTTTTGGCTGAAGAGCGAGGTATAAATACTTCTTCTTCTTCTTCTTCTTCATCATCATCACCATCACACTCTCTCATCCATCCAGTCTTTAGTATAAGCACAAATCTTTATGCCTACTGGAATTTTGTAAGCTCTTTGGCATTGTTTTCCTTTGCTTCATCCTTTACATCCTTCATTACATACCCCTAGGTTTTATCCTCGACATAACCATGGGACATATCCATGGGTTATCCTTAACTTACGCATGAGGTTGACTTATAGTCAAGCATATATGGTAAATTGCTACTGGCAGACATACTTATAAAGTTGGGTGAATATATTAATGCTGTAATGTCAGGGAAAGCAAAGGCGCTGCATGTTACTTGTGTTTTTGTGGCCCTTGAAGCCTCCAGATTCTCTTGATCATCCTTTGTTCTAGTCAAAAGAGCTTCAGGAGAGGCAATTCTCCCTTTAAAACAGATTTTATTACTGTGGGCCCTTGCGATATGCAGGCTTGCCATCTGCAGATTTAAGCCCCTGCAGACAGCACGTCTCATTGCCCCCATTGGCAGCAATGAGGTCCCATGTTTTTTGTATCTACAGGGTGGTAGTGCTGCTCATGGTCTGGAACGGATTCCCCCATGGAAATGAAGGTCTGACTGTATAGCAAAATACTTTGAAAGCACCAGATCTTTCAGGGTAATTGATCTTGAAAGTTAAGCTGAGTCAAGCCTGGTTAGCATTTGGAAAGGAGACTGCCAGAGAATACCAGGTGCTGTAGGCTATATTCAGAGGAAGAGAATGGCAAGCCAATTCAGAATATTCCCCCCCTAAGAAAACCCTATGGAATTCATGGTTTTGGTTTCACCATTGTTGAATAGGCAACCTGAAGGTACATACTTAACTTTAGAGACCCCCTGCTCTATTAACATTTTAAAAAACACATGCGTTTCAAAACCTGAAGTTGACTTCCACTCATATTTTTGTTGGGCACGGGGGGGGGGGGGGGATTTCAGCATTCCATATCACTCCTGGAGAGTTCTAGGGACAGAAAAAATGGCCCTGGACCAGCTGCAGTTGCCCATCCCACTATAAGATTTTGCTAGCTGTATTTATGTTGTTTTGATTTTAGAACTGACTTTAGTTAACGGTTTTATGGACTGTTTTATGAAAAGGTAAACATAAAGTTTAATTGCAATGCCAAACTATGACTCTGCACTTGGAAAACAGTGGTTTGGCATACTGTTAGTACCCCTCAGGATGACACACACTCTGAAGTTATGTGCAAACCTCAACTTTCCGGGTTAGAAGCAAATCATAGTTTTCTATTTCACTGAAGCCACCAAAAAATGGTAGCTTCCCCGAAACCAGGAATGGACATCAGGAAAAGTGTGAGGGATTTGCCACGCAAATGGGAAGGGGAAGTGTACAAATTACAGGTTATCGATACCATGTTAAATCATTAGTTTAATGTAGAAAGTTTCCTAAGGGTTAAAAAAATATGGGCCCTAGCTTCGAAGAGATGGCACCCAAAACTAAACACAGAATTCATTTATGTTTCACATAAATCTTATACACATAGCCTGAGCAAAATTTTATACAATAGTTTAATAATTTTGTGCATGAAACAAAGTTTGTGTAGACTGAACCATCAGAAAATAAAGGTGTTACTATCTCTGTCACCTATTAAAAAAGAGTTATGGATTTTGGACCATTTGGAAATTTTGGATAATGAAGACTCAACCTGTATTGCCTGACAGACTTCCAACAAAAGA